AAATCATCATGAAGATCTGATCAAGCATGATTGGTCTCAAGATATCTGGTTTCATGTGGCCAAACTCTCTTTGGCTCATGTGTACCTTCGGTTGCATAGGGAGAGAATATAGAAGACATTCCAAAGGAAGTGCTGATAGACTGTGCCCACCTTGTGAAGGCCAATAGCATTCAAGGCTGCAAGATGAACAACGTTAATGTGGTATATATGCTGTGGTCTAATCTGAAGAAAACAGCTGACGTGGATATGGGGCAGATAGTATTTCACAGGCAGAAGGATGTAAAAATTGTGACAATGGAGAAGAAAGTAAATGAGATCCTAAACCGATTAGAAAAAAGCAAAGTAGAGCGGTTCCCAGACCTAGCAGCAGAGAAAGAATGCAGAGATTGTGAAGAGAGGAATGAGAAAGAAGCCCAAATTCAGGAAAAGAAAAAGAAAAAATGAAGAAGAGAGAAATGGATGAACTTAGGAGCTATTCATCACGAATGAAAGTTGAAAATATGTCTTCAAATCAGGAGGCAGTGATTCAGATGAATTCATGTAAAAGGAGAAAAGGACCTTTGAAAGATGTGAATGTAGAGACAATTGCAAAAGGACCTTTGAAAGATGTGAATGTAGAGACAATTGCAAAAGGACCTTTGAAAGATGTGAATGTAGAAACAATTGCAGACCTTTTGGTTTCATCTGTGTTCTGAAGTATAAAATACAACCAAAATTCTACCTTCATCCTACCCAGAAATGATTGATTTTGGAGTTTTAAAAAAATTTTACCTTTTTTGCTGACAGAAAAGGATCAGATATGTATAAAATAGTTGAACTTGACCGCATATAACTTAAATGAAAATGTTTTGGCTAGAACATGTCTTGGTACCTTGTGAAAGCCAGCTGCCCTTGTTCTCGAGATAGACTTTAAAACGAACTAACTCTGAAAAGTACTTCTGTTGCTGTGGTCTATCCCTGAAAACAGGTGTCTTGAAACACTTTTCATATTCTTAAAATAATCTTCACTTCTGTTAAGAAGAACATGTTGATGGGTAATTATGTGAATGTTTCCCTGTCCCTGATTTCCCGGTTAGAAAAAATGGTGTATGAGTTTTGAAAAAGAGATTTCCAGAAGATTGTTGGCTTCCGTATTCACGTTCCGTCGTGTCATCTGGGTCTGTTAGTATAGTGACCCTGCGTGCAGCCTGTCCCAGCTTTTACATCCTTGCTTCCTCTGAGCAGGGGACTCCATCTTAGTATCATCATATTTAAAGAAATCGATGGTGTTCATCAAGGTGGGGCCTGTGGCAGTTGTTGCCTGAGCACCAGGTCACCCAAGTCACCTATGCAACAACTTCTGGGCTCAGGAGTAATTTCTCAGCCCTGAGGGTAAAATAGGAAGGAATGCTCTGTTGATCATTTGGGAGATGTAGGTTACCTGACTGGTGCCTTGGGATGCAGCATGAAGCAGAAGTCCATATTGCAATTATGATTTTAGAAGGAACTAAGCATTTCACCAGCCAGCCAAGTAATTATTTTCTTTACCCTGAAATCATATTTGAGTTGTAACCCCAGAGTTCAATTTCTTATTGTAAATTCACTAACTTACTGTGTAACATTACTTCTCACTTGAACCTCTCACTATCTGTTGTGATTCTGAGCAGAAGATGTCTTTTGATTGCAGTATGTAAGGCAACCCCCGTAGAAGGAGACAAAGTGAGGAGAAAGAGAACAAAGCCTGCCGGACCAGAGGCGAAGAGATGGACATTTTACTCACACTCACAGCAGCAAGAATGACCTCCTGCAGCATGTACTGCACCTGTAATAGCACTTTGGAACTTTGGGCAAAACCAAAAGGCTAGTGTTTCCATTTATGTATGGGGTTGAACTGGAACATTCCCTGAGGCATAATTCATTGGCCAAATTTTGAGAGGGTATAGAAGATGACTTTAGAAATGAGTGGTTTTGTGTATGTGTCTAATGATATTCAGCCTGACGTTCTGCAATTTTAAAAGTTATAATAAAGTATCATTTTTTAATCTGGAAAAAAAGCTTGAAACATATGTGTGGATGTATCGTGTATTTATTTTTGTACGTATGTGAAGATGTTTAGAGGTTGAGGCTCTGTGAACTTTGAAAACAAAAGCATCCCGCATCCAGATGATTCCATTGCCACACACTCTTGTAAGGGTGGACTACTGTGCTCAGAAAACTTCCAAATAAACCGCAAACCCTTTATCCTGGCATTTGAAACACTCCCATTTTCTGGTTACAGTTCCCACTACTGTTCCACCAAGTACCCCCTACACATACACACACACACACACACACACACACACACACACACGTATTTCTTTATCAATACCTTCCACTTTCCCACCTCTGTGTATTTATTCACATCGACTCCTCTGCCGAGATGTCCATTTCATCTGTGTAAATATTGCCATCTTTATGTGTTCATTCCAAAAGCTGGAAGTAATTTATTCCTTATCTGAACCTTCACAGCAGCACCTAAGCTGTCCCTCCAGGTTGGCACTTTTCACTGCCTATATTAATTACAATTATTATGCCTTTTCTTCCTTAATTGGACTTTTTGAAAGTGAGGATCATACTGTATTTATCTTTCATTTGATTACTGCAGTGTTTTGGTTTTTTTGGTTTTGGGGCTTTTTTTTGAGACAGAGTCTTGCTCTGTCGCCCAGGCTGGAGTGCGGTGGCTCTATCTCAGCTCACTGCAACCTCCGCCAACTGGTTCAAGTGATCCTACTGCCTCAGCCTCCTGAGTAGCTGGGATTACAGGCACGGGCCACCAAGCCCGGCTAATTTTTGTTTTTTTAGTAGAGACGGGGTTTCACCATGTTGGCCAGGCTGGTCTTAAGCTCCTGACCTCAAGTTATCTGCCCACCTCAGCCTCCCAAAGCACTGGGATTACAGGCGTGAGCCACTGGCCTTGGCTGATTACTGCAGTGTTTTCCAAACAGGATGTATTCTTGCAGTCTGTGTTTTAGAGAATTTCATAATGTTGGTGGCCACTCCTGTACTGATTTTTAGAGTAACATAAGCATCATTTGCACTATCTGGATAACCATCTTAACCCTGAAACCTGCCAAGTGGTTCAGTGCCCACATTTGCTTGAGTTTATGATCACTTTTTGGCACCAAGAAAGAACCAGCTGTAATCCACGGGGTGGGTATGCAACAGGTGGAGACCAAATGACCTGCTGTGTGAACAAAGGGTTTTTTTGTTGGTTTTTTTTTTTTGGTTTTTTTTAGTGAGTCAAATAAAGAAACGTGTTATCAGAACTGAATCCTCCCCATATCATAAAATAGCATGCATGCCAGATTCAAAGAAACCTGAGTAGTCGTAGGCCAGAACCCTGTTTGTCTGCTACTGAGCTTGGCAAAACATGGATCTCATTGGTTTTTAGTTTTGTTTGTATTTACTTTGTATTCATTCTTCCATTTAATATTGTTTGGTTTTTATGACTGTGTAAGAGCTTTAAGATAAAGTTCATGAACCAGGGGCGGTAACTCACACCTGCAGTTTGAGAAGCCAAGGTGAGAGGATTGTTTGAGTCCAGGAGTTCAAGTGTGCACTGAGCTATGATCACGCTACTGCCCTCCAGCCTGGGTGGCATAATGAGACCCCCATATCAAAAAAAAAAAAAAGAGTTTATGTCTAGTTCTGTTTGCACGTACTGAAGAGACAGAATACAGTAATTTAAATCAGTCCCGGCGGTAGCAGAGATGTAGGATGAACAAGTCGAGAGATTTAATGTACACCCTGAGGACTACAGGTAATAAAACCATACAGTAGACAGGATTCATGCTGGATGAGATTTTAGCTGTTCTTGCCACAAAAACCAAAAGTGGGTAACTAATGTGAGGTGTTGAATATGTTTGTTTTACTATAGTAACCTTCTTAAAATCTATATGTATCCCATAACATTATGCTGTGTGCCTTAAATATACACAATACAATTTACTTTTTTAAAAAATGAGGCCAGGTGCAGTGGCTCATGTCTATAATCCCAGCACTCTGGGAGGCCAAGGTGGGTGAATCATCTGAGGTTAGGAGTTTGAGACCAGTCTGACCAACATGGTGAAACTCCATCTCTACTAAAAATACAGAATTAGCAGGGTGTGGTGGCACATGCCTGTAATTCCAGCTACTTAGGAGGCTGAGGCAGGAGAATCGCTTGAACCCAGGAGGTGGAGGTTGCAATGAGCTGAGATGGCGCCATTGCACTCCAGCCTGGGCAGCAAGAGCAAAACTCTGTCTCAAAGAAAAAAAAAAATCAATCCTAGAGGGTCTGCAAGAATGACTTTCTTTAAAAAAAAAAAATATATATATATATGGCTGAGTGTGGTGGCTCACACCTGTAATTCCCCAACTTTGGGAGGCCAAGGCGAGCAGATGTCTTGAGCCCAGCAATTCGAGACCACCCTGGGCAACATAGCAAGACGCTATCTCTAAAAAAAAAAAAAAAAAAAGAGTTGGGCGCGGTGGTGCGCTCCTATAGTCCCAGCTACTCGAGAGGCTGAGGTGGGAGGATTGATCCCTTGAGCCTGGGAGGTCGAGGCTGCAGTGAGCTGAGATCATGCCACTGCACTCCAGCCTGGGCAACAGAATGAGACCCTGTCTCAGAAAAGAAAAAGCTACACTTATTAATTTTTAGCCACACTAACTTAGATGTTAGATATTCATCATCCTCTACCCAGTGCAGCTTAGACTCAGCTTTACCATCTATCTCTACTTGCTAAAGTCATATTTGGTAGGTAGACACAGATGGTGGGGCCCCAGACACAAAGGGCCATTGCTTTATTGATCTCTGCTATTTGTTTTCAGCTTGTAGGAACTGCACCTGGGTCCTCAAAACAAAACCTTTTGTATCCTTGGTAAATTGTTCCCAACTCATAAAAGAAGAACACTAATAAGACAAGCCCATCAATATATATATTTAAAGGATCAGGCAGCTGCTAAACCCCCACACTTTTTCTTGCTACAATTCAGAGAACATGTTCTTCAAAGGAGGAAGCTGGCTTTGGTTATACATCAGAACAAGTATCATTCTAGGAAGTGAACTAAACAGCCCAGGGCCACACGGGCAAAATAATTGTTACCAGTTTAACAGATTTCACTGCAGCTTTGAGGAAGCAGACAATTACTGTCATGGGCAGAGAGGATTCCTAGCTCATATTTGGAACCAGGAAGTTCAAGATCTCATCCGGGACTTTCTGGAAGAAGGAGAGAAGTGGTGGATTGGGCAAAATGTAATGCCACTGAGAAAGCATCAAGATGAAAAATACCCAGGTAAGACTCTAGGGTTTGGTGTTTATGAAGGAAACTTTCTTATATTTTATTCTGGGTCAGAAAAAAAAAAAAAGAAAATCTTAATCTTTCTGCTTTTGTACACAGAAAAACCAATCACTTTACTTCATTACCATCTTTCCTCTGAAATATTTCCATTTTGTGCTACAGCCTTTGATTTGTCCGTATAGCAAAAGTGATGCGATTTTTCCTAGAACTCATCTAAAGTTAACTTACCTAACCTTTCACTAAAAGAATTGTGCTAGGTTTGCCGCGCACAGTGGCTCATGCCTGTAATCCCAGCACTTTGGGAGGCTGAGGCGGGCGGATCACAAGGTCAGGAAATCGAGACCACGGTGAAACCCCGTCTCTACTAAAAATACAAAAAATTAGCCGGGCGCGGTGGCGGGCGCCTGTAGTCCCAGCTACTCAGGAGGCTGAGGCAGGAGAATGGCGTGAACCCGGGAGGCAGAGCTTGCAGTGAGCCGAGATTGCGCCACTGCACTCTAGCCTGGGCGACAGAGCAAGATTCTGTCTCAAAAAAAAAAAATTGTGCTAGGTTTGAAAGACAGAAACCTTTGGTGGTCTTTTTTTTCCTAATAAACATCTCTTCATTGTTCTGATCTCTAAGTTTTCTAACACAAAACTAAGAGGAAGATTATCTACCTATTGTCTTTCTTACAGTGTTTTCAAAGCTATGCACCATAATCTTGAAGTTTTAGAGACAAATCCAAGCCATTATTATATCATTCTCATCATCCTCATTAACGTGTAGGTAAAGTAATACTAAGCCTTGTGGTAAGGAACACATACAAAAAAATAAACTATAATGTATGGGAGGAAATTCTACATTTTTATCTATTGGAAGCCAGCCAAATTTGGCTTTCATATTTACTTTTTAAAAATGCCTGGCGGGGCGGGTGCAGTGGCTCACGCCTGTAATCTGAGCACTTTAGAAGGCGGAGGTGGATGGATCACCTGAGGTCAAGAGTTCGAGACCAGCCTGGCCAACACGGTGAAACCCCCTCTCTACTAAAAATACAAAAATCAGCCAGGTGTGGTAGCGGGTGCCTGTAATCCCAGCTACTTGGGAGGCTGAGGCAGGAGAATTACTGGAACCTGGGAGGCGGAGGTTGCAGTGAGCAGAGATGGCACCACTGCACTCCAGCCTGGGCGACAAAGTGAGACTCTGTCTTGAAAACAATAATAAAAAATAAATCTAAAAGCCTGACTTTTGAGTATGAGGCTCACCTGGGTCTGATCTCCCCTCAGCAAATGTTGCAGCCCACGGGGCCCCAAAGCCCCCCAGTTGCACCTACCTGTCCAGAAACTTCAATCGGATCTTATCCAAAGAGGACAAGTGCTTCCTGAGACACTATTTCATTTGCCAGACTGGTAAGTGATAAAGTTACATGCTGCCAAAGACCCACATTTTAAAAACTGATTCTAAATAAGGAGTGCATGTGAGAGTATTGGTTAAATAATCTGTGAGTGGTAGACCATGGGATGATACAGAGCTATTGATTTTCATGATACTGATTAGCATGAGAAACTCATCTGGAGTGACTCCCTTATCCATCCCCACGGGAGTTGAAAGGGTTGCGCCTTGATGTTCTCTTCGTGTTTTGACTTGGGCAGAGTGTGGAAGAAATTGTATTGGTGACACCATTTTCCACATGCACACTCATAATTCAGTTAGCATTTGGGCTTCCGAGGGAAGGATGGGAAAGAGAAGGAGGAGAAAAGAATATGGCAGAGGAAGAGGAGAAGGCGAAGGGTGACAGGACTGTTATCTGAGGTTCGCTTCTGCAGAAGTAGATCAGGATTAAGCTATGTGTGTATGTATGCATTTTTGTGTGTGTAGTTGTATTTATTTATTTTTTCTAAGATGGAGTTTTGCTCTTGTCGCCCAGGCTGGAACGCAATGGCGTGATCTTGTCACCGAAACCTCCGCCTCCTGGGTTCAAGCGATTCTCCTGCCTCAGCCTCCCGAGTAGCTGGGATTACAGGCATGTGCCATCATGCCTGG